ATAAGCTCTGACTCGAGTGGTAATTTTCAAGTGGAGTCTTTACAAGATTCATGTACTTTCAATAATACACTGTTATGAAACCTGACGATCTACGAAATTGAATGCTGCTTTACAGTCAAGAAATACAGCTAGTCCAGCGTCGAAAGGTATATTTATTTAATTATAAAACAAGCATACAGCGTCTAACTTCAACATAGTATTCAGTAAAATAACATTAATCATCTCCCGACATACTTTTTATCACATGAAATAATAAAACTATGATCTGTACAATACTAAAGACTTTTGAACTACATGAACGATCCAACTTATGGAACATAATTTTTATAAATAGAACTAGATAATCAGCAAAGCTTTTAAGATTATCGTTTATCCAGGCGGAGAACTAATATACTATTCTCAGTACTTATTCAACAATGGGGCAGTGATTTTAAAACTAGTTTTTGAAAGCTTATAATATGGATGGACATCGTACATATTTTGGATAATCCATGTACATAACAGATGAGTATTGAGTTAAGGACGACTAGAAAATATCTGTACAATCAAGTTAATATGCACGCACAATTATATGAGCCGGTTGGTTTTGCTTGTAAAACTACGCTTGTTATTAAACTGTCAATAGAAAGAATTCAACTGACAACAAATTTGTTGTCTTGTGGTTAAGTGTACTGGTTTATGGAAATTGTCTTTGTTCAAGATCATTTCAATTTGCACTTAGTATACTACTGTAAGTTGTAATCAGTAATCTAAAATATTCTAGTTCAGATATTGCGTACGATCATCGCACTTTCAGTTTCGACTCAACGTTGTCACAGATTTCGTTTAGGTGTAAACTCCCAATTGTGGCGAAGATAATTTATAGTTAGTTAAATTTTTTAAGATTAGAAAGCTTGTTTATTAACTGTTGATAACTTCACACAACACCATTGCTTTATTTAAAGTAGTCCGTTCATCAGTGCCTAGATCGGAAGGTTTACCGTCTTTCAAATAATTACACGCAAAGTATGTTTAGACAAAATACATATAAAGCACTTCCTCGACAGAACTGCAACATAATTATATTGGAACCAATTTATATATCTTTATGCACCTTGTAAAAAAAGTGAATTACACTGTGACGTTGTGGTGTATGTTACTTATGCTGACAGACATAAGTAGTACGTAGCACCAGTCGGAAATGTAATGCCTGGCAACAGAAAATCGAAATGAAGATAACAGGAAGAAAATCGCAGAGTAATCAAAATGACAACAAAATTAAGGAAATAATTGATTACGCAAAAGACAACGCAAAGATGAACAAATGTGTGATTTTCAAATTGTACTAAGCCACTGAGTGATTTTGCATTTAAAAATAAATTGGTGTGCCGCATCTGAGTTATCGATCATTACAGTATGATAAAGTGAGAAGTAACCTTGACAGTCAGCCATTCTTTCTATAAGAGAGTGAATAACCAAGTATCAGAGAAGTACACTCTCCCGATGAGTTAACTATACACAGCTTCGAACAAACAAGAAATTTGAGTACTCGTTGGTCATCCTGTTAAATTGATTTACACTTTCCCTTCCTTCTTAACAAATTATATTAGGTATATATTTCAATTGCAATTATGTCAAAAACAGAATCATTTAACAGACCATAATATTTCGACAAAATAACGCAAAATCTTACACAATATTGACTACTGCAAATAACAAAGATAACGTCTTATGCAATTTCGAAATGGGGATATTAATAAACCCTGATAGACACCACTGAAGACTCCCAATCCAGAGACAATTCCCCATAAGTTGTGACTCGATCAATAATCTCAAAGACTATGAGTAAATTTTGTCTGAAATGGTAATCTTAAGTTAATTTAGCCAGGGTTGTCTATTTTACAGCTGATAAGAAGAGAAGCCAGTATTTTATGGGAAGAACCGCATCACCTAGACCTAATTCCATTAAGTTATCAGGTAAAAGGGAGGCGACTAGAGAATCTACTAGATCTGTAAGAGAAAATTATTACGGACTTACAAACATAATGTATAAACACAGAGCCGACGCAGTTTTTCCAAGCAGGAAATAAAAGGAGTCGTGAAGTGGGCCGATGGGGACTTGTTGGTCGCAGGTCAGATAACGGGGACTGTCTACTGCAACTGTGCGCAGAACACAACCTGTTTCTGGCCAGCACTAACTAGTGGCACAGTCGTCTCCGATGTGCCACTTGGCGTCCTCCTTCAGCACCTCAAACCTGGACACAGACTGATCACATCGCGATGAGCTACCGCTGGAGTGGCTGTGTACAAGGCTGACGCTCCTTTTGGATTCTAATCATGTCCTTATTTGTCTAATCTTAACTTACTTTACAGTGGCCAACAAATTCATCGTCCTAAAAGGATCGATGTCAGCAAATTGGTTGCAGTTTCTGTTGCAAATGAATATCAAACCGAGCTAGGTTCAAGGCTAGCTAACACCCCACCGAAAAAAACTGGGAAAAGCTTGTGTAAGGACTGAGATGCCTGGTGGTCGGAGCGTGCTAATGAGCTGGAAGCAGCAGCTGCATCTGGTAACTACCGGAAGTTCTTCCAACTCATCCAAGCCACTGGCAGCAAGACGTTTGATGTGAGCGAAACAATCTGTCAAGATGACGGGATGCCAATCACTAAAATCTTTTGACGTCTTGGACGATGAGCAGTCTTTCGAGAAGCAGTTCAACTGGTCTGCCGCCCCGGCAACATCGATCAGACTGCCCTGCTCTCCATGGCCTGTGACGACTGATCCATTAAATGAGGTGGAAGTTCGCAAGGAACTCCAGTTCTTTAGGCGCTACAAATCACCTGGCCCAGATAACTTACCTCCAGCTCTTCTTAAAGATGGTAACGACTTTCTAGTCAAGGAACTAAATGCGTTGTTTCAAAAGATTGGGAGTTAGAGTGTTTTAATATCGTGGAATGAGTCGATAGTTGTCCCTATCTTTAAAAAGGGTTCACACCGTTTCTGTAACAACTACCAGGGGATAAGTCTACTTCCGATTGCGTCCAAATTATTGGCTTCCGTCATACTTCGTAGATTGTTCAAAACCTGAGAAAGATTGACTCACGAGGAGCTGGCTGGTTTTCGTTCTCGTCGAGGATGTATTGATCATATCTTCACTCCCCGCCAAATGTTAGAACACCGTCATACTTATCAAAGGCCAACAATCGTAGTGCTTCTTGACATCAGGGCTACCTTCGATCCGTTGGACAGGACTGTTCTCTGGGATTGTCTATTGAAGAGCGGTGTGTCTGAGAATTTTTATTAACATTCTAAAAGCTGTATATACAAACACCTCAGGCAGGGTGAGGGCATACAACCACCTTTCTCCATTGTTCCATTCGAGCAGTGGGGTTAGGCAGATTTTCCCAATCTCATCATCCCTCTCCAACTTTGCCACCGATGACATTCTGGAAACAGCTCTGATGGATGTAAGTAATGGTGGTGTGGATCTGTTGCCTGAAGAAAGACTTCTCGACCTTGAGTATGCGGATGATATTGTCTTACTGTGCGACAATGCCATAACCATGCAATCCGCACTTAATCAGCTGGCAATTAGTGTTCGTAGGTACAGTATGTACTTTGCACCTTCGAGGTGCAAAGTACTTTTAAAAGACGCCGGACCCTGGTCTTGCACTCACCCTGGGTAGTGAGCAGATAGAAGTAGTCGAGAAGTTCGTGTATCTAGGTAGCTGCATAAGTGCTGGTGGTGGCGTGAGTGATGAGATCAACTCACATAGTGTCTCCGAAGGATTGCTGACATCCAGTGGCAACACAATGTTAGTAATGCAGAGGTTCGGCATCGTGTGTTGGGGCACAAAGACGATAATTTAATTGGTTACTATCTTGAAGCATCGACTTCGGTGGCTTGGACATGTTCTACGAATGTCGTCCCAGAGAATGTCGTGCACTACATACCGACGCTAGGAAGGGTTAGGATAAACGGAGAGGTGGTTAGTGTGTGACATAGTATGGAAGACGTACATGACTGGCTTCTGCTGATCTTTCACGACTCCCTGGTTGGGGCCCTACAGATGGTGCAACACAGTGGCTAGAGACGTCATTAGATATGGCTCAGAATAGAAGCCAGTGGTGATCCTGCTGTAACTTGCTTCATAAAAGATGGACGTAACTTCTTTAACTAGAATATTTTCTGGTTGTATCTTTGCTAACTGAACTTCCACTCCAATTATTATCTCACTATTAGACACTAATTTCTGTTCTTTGTTGGTCTCCTTCTTCTTAAACGCACTTTACATTCTCTATCTCTTCTCATTCTTATTGTGTGGTGCATATGTATCTGGTACCCCTTTGTACCAATATTTGTGTTCGAATAATAAATAAACATTACTCACACTGCACTTCTGGTTTATACATATTGATCCCCAGTTGATTGTCTATCTTCTGACTTTAATGCATATAGTTTAAAGATCTGTCATAATAATCGATGTACATTTATTTATTTATTGAACACAAACAGTGGTACAAGGAGGCACCAAATATATATGCGCCACACCACCATTTGATTTGTGTGGGAGGTGGAATACTGCCCGAGTGCCCAACCCGAAGCAGAGGCCACGCTCCTACCAGTTATATGGTTTTCAGTTAAATTCTATTGCATTCGACGATACCAGCCGGCGACAAACGTCGAAGTAGACGGTAGTTGTGCATACTTAACATATATCCCAAATGTCTTGGTCGATGAATATTTACTAACTCACCAAACGACTTTCCACCCTTACCTAGTACCCTACGTTTAACATCGGCATTACTAGTTTTTTCGTTCAATTATATGTGACAAGTGTTTCAAAGATACCAGAAAACTAGGTATCTTTCGTCGAATTTCTAGACCATAAAGCCAAACCTAATTGTCTAGCCAGTTACTGATTGATATGCTATGCACAAGACTGTATTTTCTATTTGATATAATCGCATGAAGATCAAAATAATTTGTATTAGATACAATACAAATAACTTGGAGACTAAATATGATTGAGCACTGTGATAAAACCACTAGTTTCTGGTAGATACGCTGTCTAGAAAACACTCCAGCAACGCAATAAACTTAAAATTATTCCATTTATATATTGTCTTTTTACTTTTTAAACTAATTAAACTGCATGATAAGAGTTCGCTACCATTACAACAACTAAAAACATCATTGGTGAAGAACGAATGAGCATAATCACTAAAGCTATTAAATATATAACAGTGGTTATCTCATTTTAAATAAAATACGATTTCATAACACCAATTAAAAATATCCCCATGAACGAAAGTGATAAGAAAAATCAAAAACCAAGGCACAAAAACTCTCTTTTTCTACTGGGTTAGGTATAATTATTTAAGAAGATTCATTTTGAATCATCATACTTAAACTAGATTGTACAGTACCAAGATGAGATCGCCATTGTACCAATGTATCATGTAAGTTAACCCATTGAGGTCGACCAAATGTACGTGGAAACGCTCCGGTAATTAGGATTTTCTTTTGAACTTGATCTAATTTACATGCAACAGCTCTCTGGCGCACAGCTAAAATGAACGTAAAGTGTTATTACCAAAAAAGTTCGCAAAAAATTAGATCATCAGGAATGTTGAGTTAAGATATATTGGGTTTAACTCAAATGTAATATATGATAATTGGCGAAAGAATTTCGGTACGCGATTACACTGGAATTCCTAAATATACTATAAACATGTCAATGGCAGAATTATATTCAAGTTGTATAGACTGCAGTCATCAACAAGGTCATCTTGATCGCTGTAAGAGGTGTGGGTGGTCGTTACTCCCTGGTTACTCACACAATAAAATACATATTCGTGAGATACGTGAAAATGAAACTGGATTAGCAGTGGTTTTGATGATCTGAGAGCATAGTTACAGACTTCAATGGAAAAATCCTTTAGATCAGTCACATAAGCCCTTTTGGTGCTCAGTTTTAGATATGTTAGCTCCGTACTTCTAAAGCCTTACTGCCAGTGCCGGGAGTCCGGAGGGCGAGATGTGTGCTATTTTCGCAACCAACCTTATTTAGTTACCTCCATCAGTTGCCAGAAAGCAATATTAGCGGAACTTCTGGTTATCTGAAGGAGTTACCTTACTACTGCGATCAATGATATGAAAATATGCGCAGTTATGAATATTTTAAAAATATAGAACAATTTTCCACCATTATGTTCAAGAGAATAACGAGTAGGTATATTCAACAAATGTTACATGAGATGCAAAACGGGAAACCTCTACAGTGTCGACTGAACTGACTCCTATTAAAAGTGTAGTTGCCCTAAACTTGAAAAAAGCACTAGAAAACTAAAATATAATATCAAAGTTGGTTCCAAGATTTTTTGGTTTCACCAACCGTAGTTGGTTGAAGAGCTGATGAGATTTTGAAACACATAAAAATGAAACCGGAATTTCGTCAATATACATTTAAATAGCAAACGAAATATTTATTTGTCTACAAACATAGAAGGCAAATAACACAAAATATCACTCGATATTGCTTAAAGCACTTGAAAGGTCGCTACTGAACATTAAAGACATGTGTTATTCATAAGTTTTCAATTACAGATACCCTCGAAACACTAGTATAACGTGATGAAACAACATGGCAAGTAACTCTGATATAGGACGTAAACTACTACGTACAAACAGTAAATTAATTCGTACGATAGTAGCAGTTGAGATATGTGATACTTAGGTCTAAGCAGCATCTGTCTTATTCTGTTAAGCTGGATAGTATAGAATATAGTTAGCAAATGGTTACCAGCGGTGAAAACATAACATAGAGACACCCCGTGAAAATTTTGACTGTTAGTTTTAGATTTGTGGTTTGGTGATGCTCATAAAATAAACCGAATCTATAATTAAAGATCAGATGATACGACATTTGCACAGGTGAATTCATCCCACATATTTCTCTAAGTTCTTAACTTTATGATAAACGATATCTTACACTGTTCGATTTTATTTCATTTACTTTGATTCCTAAAGTAATTTGGTCAGTCTTCCTGCTGCAAATATTAGTGTTTTCAGCAATTTTCTAATTCTCCTAGTGATTTCATTTTTCTTACAGCCGTGACGTCAGTTGGTGAGCTATAATCAACGTAGAACCTGGAGCAAATGTAAGCTAGCCCAAGTTGCTATACCAAAATAGCATAAAAATACAAAATTAACAGAGGAAATGGTGAATATGTCATGGTTAAAAATACCAAACATTCAGAATATGTTTCGTTATGACACGCTAAGGACTTGAACAAGCAAGGAGCTTGAAGTTAATGTCAGAGCAAAAAACCTATGCTAGAAAACAGAGATGACATATCTGACCTTAAGCAGAAACAAACCAATATACAAGTCGCTCGATATATATTTGCCTCAATCCGCTCACTTTTTTAATAAACATTTGCCTGCTTCCGTTTTACCTTTAATTAAGCTTTCCAACAACTTTACACTGGTACGATCAATGGATGCTCATTACTAAACATTTGCAGTCATAACTGATGAGGATTTTAAGTCTAGTTCCTAGAGCGCTAAAGTGATGTTTTAAAACATGTGTGGTCGTATACCTGTAATTTTTGACTAGGTGGACCAGAGTAAACATTATCTCATTAGGTGTTCTAGGGGAGCAAGTCGACAAAAACGTCACTCACCATATTAGTGCTAGGACATTTCATCTATTCCCAAACCATTAATCCAGATCAAGCATAATAAAAACAGCCTCTCGTTCCAAGAAACCAAGTATATTTTAGTTTCTAGCTTAATAAGGCCATCGTTAAGATTTATTGAGGGAGTACATTGATGAGACAATCTTTGAGATATGAATTCGTTTTCGGTGTATATCAAAATGAAAGAAAAGACAGATGATGGGATAATATTGAGATAACTTACTCCCGGATTCCAACCTTGTGGTATAATTTCTATAACTCTTAAAGCGCTATGATCTTGAAAATAATTTTTGAACAAATTGTTACGTGATAACAAGATAAACTTGAGTTAGTTAACAAGTAGTCACGGTCCAAATCTACATAAAGTTTACCATAATAGTCAAATGGTATAAGGAATTCCTAAATACTATGCCTGGGTTATACTATCATGTGGAACTAAAGCTTTTCCAGTTAAGCCCTTGAAATCTCACTTTAGATTACATTAAGCTTGAAGCAAGCTACAGACAGCGTGAAATAAACTTACACACCGGACACACCTGAGATGAAATATTCGCAAGGACAGATAACTACTAAACCACATCTAAAATTTTACCTTCTATTATAAATGGCTCCAGCTCTTCAATCTTGAGATTCAACTGAGCAGCTGCATCTTGATAACTAAGTTCATTCACATTCTCAGACAACTGCATTAACGTCAGAAGTCGGAGTTTGTGAATACAAGCTTCTTCAGATAGATTATTCTGACTTAAAAAGTTTGGATGTTTAGTTAGGAAGTTTCTGAATGTATTCAGATCTCCAGAGACAAATATCTTAAAGAACTGAAAAGGTTATAGTGGAATTACAACTCACATCATGAACAGGTTCACCTTCCAAATATTGAACTGGTTTAAGAGCGTACAATTGATCATGAGATAATAAAGATGGATCTTGCAACACAGATATGATGCATCTAAGAAAGAATGTATGGTATGAAATATACTACTTTATTGCATTTTGCCGGGCATTCATAGCAGTTAGTTCATTGTAGGTTGAGAGGAGATATATCATGGCTTCAATAGCTTTTCGACTTTCACCCAGTGAAGTATGTGCATCATACAGCTTCTGCCATACTTTCTGGCACTCCTCAACTGTGCAATCACATTCACTTAGCCAATAAGCAACCTAAAACTATGAAATATGAAAATCTAAGCCAACTTTTTTTGGTGCAGTTATCACTTCATTTAGAACGCCCATTTTTTCAGCACATTCAATTAGAGTAAGATATATTTCATAACGAGGATGACTTTTGGGATTAAGTCCACAAAACAAAAGGTTCAGTCTAAATATAAGATCAAAAAACATCAATCCCACGGGAAAAGTTTGCTCCTATGTCTTCGTGTGTTATCACCAGAAAAATCACGTAACTTTTCGCAAAAAAGATGAACCGCATCTATTAATTTATCAGGTGGAAGTTGGATAAAAATAGAGGCAACACTTGCTAAAACATCATTGACATCTGATTTTTCAAATTATCAAAATATATCTTACCAGCTTCAGCAATAGTTTCGTCTTTCCAACAGATGTCGATGTATTTAAGGCATTTAATCAGCTCGTCTGGCCAGTTAGCATCTGTACACTCAGAGTTATCAAGCACTTTGGCCCCATAACTCTTAAGAAATCTTTTTAACTCAGTAACCTATTTTAATTAACTTCATGCCGGAATATTACTTGTTTCGCATCAGTGCCATCGATAAAAACAGCTACGCTCATAGCGCGTGAGTTAAGTAACACCAGTGTTAAATTAGGCTCTCTATTGTACAATGTAGGTTGTCACAAATTTTCAAGGGTAACAAAAGTTGTTTTGATTTACACTCCCTCTTGAACAAGCAGTCTTAAGTTTTATTCGGATTTATTATATAAAGGCTGTGAGATCACCTCTGTTGATAGGAATTTAAAACTACTGACCAATCAATAAAATAAATCTATCAGAATGGGTTTTGTGGAGAATTTTAGAATTTTCACAGTTTTTTGAAATCATGAGTCAGTTGAAGCTAGACCACCATTGAAAACCTGGAAGCACTGGACGGCCGTTTCGTCCTGGTATGGGACTCCTCAGCAGTGCGCATCCACGATCCCGCACCACGCGGGGCTCGAACCCAGGACCTACTGGCTTCGCGCGCGAGCACTTAACCACTAGACCACTGAGCCGGCATCCAACGGTGTTAATGTCTAACTTCAACCAATCCACGAAGTTGCGCCACCGTACACCATTGTCTTCAGTGAGTTGTTATCTCACAACAGACCGGTTGAACTCCACTGGTAACGGCTTCTCACTAGAACTTCAGGAGTTTTTCCTGAAGTCAGTCACTAGTGAGCAGTTGATTATTATTATCAGAATGGGTTTTGTGGAGAATTTTAGAATTTTCACAGTTTTTTGAAATCATGAGTCAGTTGAAGCTGAGGAGTCCCATACCAGGACGAAACGGCCGTCCAGTGCTTCCAGGTTTTCAATGGTGGTCTAGCTTCAACTGACTCATGGTTTCAAAAAACTGTGAAAATTCTAAAATTCTCCACAAAACCCATTCTGATAATAATAATCAAATGCTCACTAGTGACTGACTTCAGGAAAAACTCCTGAAGTTCTAGTGAGAAGCCGTTACCAGTGGAGTTCAACCGGTCTGTTGTGAGATAACAACTCACTGAAGACAATGGTGTACGGTGGCGCAACTTCGTGGATTGGTTGAAGTTAGACATTAACACCGTTGGATGCCGGCTCAGTGGTCTAGTGGTTAAGTGCTCGCGCGCGAAGCCAGTAGGTCCTGGGTTCGAGCCCCGCGTGGTGCGGGATCGTGGATGCGCACTGCTGAGGAGTCCCATACCAGGACGAAACGGCCGTCCAGTGCTTCCAGGTTTTCAATGGTGGTCTAGCTTCAACTGACTCATGATTTCAAAAAACTGTGAAAATAAATCTACCTTAGACTATCCACTGCAAAAGTTAGTTTATATGAAGGAGTGTTAAATAACCTTCTGAAAAGAGCGTCTTACCCATGTAAAAGTGTTGCTGATCATGTTGGTTTTTACGGCATCATTTAGATTAATTCAGTCTGGTTTATTGTCTATGCCACATCTGAACCTACGTGAAAGGTTTCTCCTGTTCCAGATGGATTGCGACCTCACGTTCATCTACCTCTAAGTCTCAGAGTGTATGCTATCACGTCAGTTTCCGTTGTCTTCATACTTATGCATCTCCCTGGTTCTCCACTTTTTAAGACGGGATGAAAAGTCAAAACTACTCATTATGATTTTAACTCAACAGTAATTCCGTGTAATTCAAATTGATGGTCACTCAGTATAGTATTCGGTTCGTTTTCCCCGACGAGACGTTTTTCTGTACAACATACAATATTCTTGTATAAATTATTTTTCATATGTTGTGGAGATAGGCATGACAAACTTATTTTTTAAATAGTTCTTGATATTGTTTGCATTTATTTTGTTGACTTTTATAGTCTGTACTGAACTATAAATCATCTACTATCTACATTTTTAGACTTCAGCCACATTTACATTATATTCTACGTTCGGATATATTGCTGGAAAAATAACAATGCCATTGGAATTATTAATTATCTATAATTGTAGATTCTGGTACCAAATACAACCCGAATACGCCCAACTTTGCTGATCTAAGTAACATCTCTAAATTTTTAATTGTGTTGATAACTTATAACTGATATATCATGATGTAACAGTTTATACGTAATAACTTTATTGCTATTTTTGGGTTGATATGTTTTTGGTCCACCACAATACCTGATTTATTCTGATTATTAATCAAAAGTGGGTCTACAAACTAATATACAAATGAGTATATTTCTGACTAGATGGGTTATGACTGCTCGTGCTTCCTCGTTTCAAACTTGAGCGGGGCTGGGACGCATCAGAATAGCTAGCTTATTGGCCTTTGGTTACAGAGTCTTGTTCTGTTCGCAGATTAGGTGGACTCCTAATAGCTTCAAACACAGTACTACTTGAAATACGTTCCAATTTGATACAAGCAACGTATGACTCTGTCATACCAAGGCGCTTACCGTAAATAAACTAATTTGCCACACTTGGAAACCTTTTCTCAGATTAGATGAATGATTATAACTAAGGTTCTCAAAGTTCAACTCCTTTTCTACTGCGCCGGACTTTGGGACAAAATTTAGGATCACACGCATGTCAAGACGAGGGACTACACCAACCCCGCCTAGCACACTCTCCTCTCTGAGCTCAAGTAAACAAACACATGACAATCGGGGCGAAACGAGACCGCTGGCATAGGTTAATAAAGCTCCGAAGTAAATAGTCCTGTAAGTCTTTAACATTTGTGCTGGTGTCATTGGTTTGACTGGACATACCACTACTGAAGGCGCTCGATCACGCATTTTCACTTAATCACAAGTGAGTACGCCATGCTATGCATCTTTTGCAACCACTAGATAGCTTAGATCAAACTTTTCTCGACATATATATGACTTCCAAAATATGTCTTCTGATCCCTTCACTTCTGACTTCTGATTTGGCTGGACTGGTATCTTTCGATCATAAAGGTGTTGAGGGTAAAGTGTTTTCAAACTCTGAATATCTATGACATATTTAAGCTCAGCCCTCTACAGAACATAACACACGGCTCAAACCCGCATGTTAGGGAATCACGAAGTTAACTGAAACTAATATATACCCTTCTTGATTTTTACTTCATTTAATCACACGAGCAAAGCCATATGAATGGTCGGGAAAATCAGTGATCACGTTTTATGAACTTATTGTTCGACTATCCTCTACATTATCAGCGGAACGCAGAATCAATTCGGTTTTAACACAAAAACATTACTATAACTGTTTAGTTCATCATTTGAAAACATAATTACTGTAGAATCCAAACTACGGTTTGGATAGAAGAATAGCCGTCCGGGTACGTTAGACACGCGCCCTTTCCCGTCGAAATCAAAACAAGTAATCGGGTAAATAGCGGTTCTATAATTCATCATAAATTTAAATGTAAATCGTTACCTGAACAAATATTACCACCCGGCTATTCAACCAATAATTGTTCAATCAATAAAATCTAAATTACAATAAATAAAGGAGTTGATGAAAGATGAGGGAAAATGACCAGTCACAACAAATGAACGTTATTCTATCCTGACTGCATAGAACACACTCAAAGGGAGGAGCAAATCAATATGGCTGCCGCCAAGAACAAGTGTCAAGTAAAACAACACAGATGCAGTTCGGGAAGAAACACAAACTTAGTGAATGCGTAAGAAAAACAAAAACTATAATAAAAAATACAAGTATTAACAATTCAAACGTAATCAAAAGACAACAGTGTATAACTAAGGGAATCAATAGGAACAAAGTACAAGCATATACATGGAGGGATTTTCACCAACACACAAAACCTTCAAAATGGATCTTACAATTACTACTGTGTGGTAAGAGCAGTGACCCTAAGGCTGTAACTTCATTTGATTTTCATCTGGTCAACTAAGTGAAACAACTACGACGAAATGAGTTCGCTGATTATCGAGCGATGTGTGCGAGATCTTTCCTGAACATAATAATAATATATTTCTGTATGAGAAGGTACACGCTATTTTTACAGGGATGATCTACAAATCACAACATTTGTTAGCGCACAACATGCTTCCCAACTTAATAAATTTATAGTTGTTATAAAGTAGACTCGTAGTGCACTTGCTGTAAACAATGAAATTGAGGAGACGCGCACGTTAAGTTTGTTCCAGAAGTCAGAAGTTCCATATCCGTGCCCTCAGAGCAAGATTCTGAAGAAAAAAGAGAAACAGAAGAGCACCAAGGCACTTGGATATGAACGCTAAACGTTGCTTAACATTTTGTAGTAGAACAGACAGAGGTATAATAAATTAGATTAAATTAATACTCTCTCTAGTTAGAGTGAAATGAAGTCAGAGGCTTCATATAACAGAATGTAGTAATAAAGAACAATGAGTTCTGATGTTTAACAAGTTGGAGTAAGCTCACACGAAGGAAGGGAAGTCAAGGTTGGTACAAGGACAGCGGTTTATTAGAAGAGAGTATGCATATAGAGTGTGAAGTGTTAAGAATACTAATAATTATATCTTTTGTTATCTGATCTTTTATTTCTTTTTTTGTCCACCCGATGTCATCCACACAATCCCAGTGTAAAATTCCGAGTTGGCATGTTATAGGTTGTCTTAATAGAATAGCTAATCCAGAATAATATTGGAAACATGAATCTGAATGGTGAGTTTATCACATATTGATGGACTTGTTCTCGATCATAAAGAGTCTGATACAAACAAAATTTTTCACCTGACAAAGATGGATGGATTGAAGTCATCGCCCTTACCATCAATGCTTGCTGATCAGTAAATCCACCCTGACTACTTTTGTGATGTTAGACTCGTTTGGGCTTATATCATACCTCACGCGATGCTATGTGTTTCACATCCTGTTGAAAACGCTATTTCTATAAGTACCATTTCACAAGCTTATCAGACAATTACAAATTATGAACTGTGGTAAGGCATCGTTCAATGCTTTAAATGACTGCAATTGAAAATATAGGTAGCCAATCACATATAACTCACTAAAACATTTCAGTCTACGCTAACGACCAAATATTTACTGAAACACCACATACATGTATCTAAATCTCATGTCATTCAGTGATTTACTTTCGACATGAATGTAATGAGCATCGGTAGTCTGAGAGGGTATGAAATTACTCATTCCTGCTATTTGGAACTCATTTAGCACACTATGGAATTGAACTCAGGTCCTGTTCAGCGTTATACGTTGAAAC